GGAAGGAAGGAAGGAAGGAAGGAAGGAAGGAAGGAAGGAAGGAAGGAAGGAAGGAAGGAAGGAAGGAAGGAAGGGTTCGATTTTAAAGGCTGCATCCTCCAAGGACTCTAATTCAATGCTTTTAATGCTCTTAGAAATAAATTTAATGCCATCAACAAGTAACCATGATATATATAAATATATAAAACACGGCAAAAAAAATTTTAGAATTTTTTTTTTTTTTATAAAGTATTTTAAATGCCACTATAATCAATTAAGGTCAATTAAGGCCTTAATTTAAAAAATAATAATTTTATTACTTGTAATGATTTTTTAAAGACCCGCAGAAACCCTGTATCTGCACTGGATCCTTCCAAGTCTTTGAAAATACATTAAAACAACTATTTTATTATATTGATTTCAGATGGAACTATTCACATATTCGTATTATATTAAAATGCACTTCCAATATTCACCATTGTTCAGTGCCTTTTACCTTTTTCCTCTGATCACGGAGCAGCTGGCGTGTTTTGACTCGCAATGAATAATGGGATACCCAAGGCTACGGAGGATACAGCTGACACAAAAAGAAGGCTGCATTTGTCGCTTGCATAATGAGGCGTCTTCTAATCTCACCAGACCTCGGCGCCGCACTATGACGTAATCGGCCTATGAATCTGGCCTTCGAAGGACGCAGCCCCTGAATTCCAATTCAGCCTAAATTTAATCCCAGACTGTACTTCTTGTCTCATTTAAAGAGTTTCCATTTATGCGCCTTTGTTTTCTCTGAAGCCAACTGTTGGGTTTATTCAATGATGATTATAAAGTTAATGTGTGTGTATATAAAAGATTGAGGAAATGAGATGCTTTACATGTTTACTGCAAACTGTCAGGCAACGGTGGTGGAAAATTACTGATGTTTGTGCAAGGCTAATCACAGTTATCAGGAGACCACTCTGTTCTGTGAATTAATCAGAGGAGCATTTTGTCCTATGACCTGATCAATTGCCTTGTCAGAAGAACACTCTATTTTGTAACCCACCCCATGTGTTATGATCTGCTAATAAAAAGGCTTCTGCAGAGGAAGTCAGTCAGAGAGTAGTGAGTTAGGTGTAACTCTCTCCTTCTGCAGAAGCTGTTAAAAATCCCTCTTCTGTGTGGACTCAGTTCCTCTTTTACGAACCTACATGTTTGAACCCAACACCAACATTCTCTGCTTCTCTGGTATCAAACCCACTCAGACATTCGGGCTGATAATGAGCTCTGTTCAGTTTTACTGTCAGCAGCATCTTTGAAGAGCAGGAGACCCTGCTGAAGCTGATCACGATCCTTAACATCGATCATTATACATCCTCCTAATACAAGGCTATGAATGCAGATGAAAATCCTCGTGAAAAACAAGGAAACACTGATAAAATAAAGGATCCTATTTTCCATTTACTCTTTCCTTTCTTCTTTGTTAACAGATTCAGTTTGTCTCTTATGTCTGTTTCTGGATTTTCTCTGCTACTTGGTCACCTGCTTCTCTTGGCCTCCATCTCTCATCTTAACTTTTGTTTAGTTCTCATGTGATCAACCTGAAATGATGACAGGTGCAGCTGCTGAGCTGTGATTGGACAGTTGCTGTTTACCTTCACCTTAAACAATGTTTATACTCACGTCAACCAGGGACAGGAAGCGACTAAATTTCTCATCTTTTCTCAGAATCTCTCCGATTGTGAGGTCAGCAAACTAGAAATAAAAACAGGAAATGATCCATTACCTTAAAAAGTGAGGCAGAGATGCTGCTGGGCGGCTCTGGTTCCGTTAAACTGACCTGTTCGTCCCTGGATGAGCTTCCGGGAAGGCTGCTGGTGATTGGCCGGTCGATGATGTGGATGATGCCATTGGCTGCTGGCAGGTCTGCCTGGATGATCGAGTATGGCTTGGTGGGATCGTTCATCAGGATGAACTTCTGCAGAGACAAACACAAAATAATGTCTTCCTTTTCATGATCGTCCTTCAGGACCCCTGACCCTGTTTCTTATATAAAAGGTTTTAAATTGTAAAACTTACTTCATATGTTTTGATTTTAAATGATAATATTACTTATTGAACATAATGAGGTTTCAATATAATTCAATTCAGTTTATTTCTATAGCGCCAATTCACAACACAAGTCATCTCAAGGCACTTTTTAGTTCACCAGGTCATAGTCAAATCATTCAAAGTTTTCTATCTAA